TTTTTGGTACCGGGGATCGAACTCGGGGCCTTGTGCTTGCGAGGCAGGCAGGGGAACCACTGAGCAAAATCCCTGGACCTGTCCCTGATTGTAAAAAGCAAGTTTATTGAGATATAATTGACATGTCATACAATTATTCCATTATTATAATTCAACATATTTTCGTGTATTCAGTTATGCAAACATCACCACAGCCAACAGTAGAACATTTTCATCTTTCCTAAAAGGAACTCTGTACCCATTAGCAGTTACTCCCCACTTTCTTCTTTAATACTTGCCCTCCAGTCGAAGTATTCACTAATCCACTTTCCATCTATAGTTTATCTCATTGGATATTCATACAAATAAAGTCATACAATATGTGGCCTTTCATGTCTGTTTTTTTTATTGAGCATGTTTTCAAGATCATCTGTATGGTAGTCTGTATCAGTACTTCATTATTTTTATTGCCAAAAATATCCCATGATGTGGATGTAACATATTTTATTTATTCAATCATTAATTAATAGACATTTGGAATGTTTTGGCTATCATAAATAATGCTGCTATGATTGTATATGTATAAGCATTTTGAGTGAACATATGTTTTCATTTCTCTTGGGTACTTATATACTCAGGCGTAAAATTGGTAGATCATATGCTAACTCTATATTTAACCTTTTGAGAAATTATTAGACTGCTTTCCAAAGAGGCTGCACTATTTTACATTTCCACCAATAGTGTTGCGGGCCTCAATTTTTCCACATCCTCAGAAACATTAGTTATTATCTGTCTTTTTGATTACAGCCATTCTACTGGGTATGACATGGTACCTCATTGTGTTGTGGATCTTCATTCCTCACCCGACTGATGTTCAGCATTATTTCTTGTACTTATTATTTATTTGAACATCTATGGAGGAATGTCAATTCAGATTCTTTGATCATTTTAATTAGGTTATTAATCTTCTCAACAGTGTTGTGAGAGTTCTTTGTCCTAGACACAAGTACTTTATCAGATACATGATTTGCAAATATTTTATCCTAGAATATGGTTATTTATGACTTTTTTTGAAGGGGTCCTTTGGAGCACAAAACTTCTTTTTTTAAAGTTCTTATTTTTGATAAATACCAATTTATCTTACTTTTTCTTTAGTTGCTTTTGGGGTCAAGATATAAGAGACCGTTGCTTAACCCAATGTTAGGAAGATTTATTCCTACATTTTCCTGTAAATATTTGTTATGGACTGAATTGTATCCACCCTCAAATAAAATGTATATGTTGAAGTCCTAACTCCCAATGCAATGGTACTTGGCGTTAGGGCCCTTAAGGAGATGAATAAGGTAATTAGGGTAGGGTCCTAATCCAGTAGGACTAATGTCCTTATAAAAAGGAGAAACACCGTAAGTTCAGGCACAAAGAGAAAAAGCCATGTGAGGACATAGTGAGAAGGCAGCCATCCTTAAGCCAAGAAGAGAGGCCTCACCACAGAACAATCCTGCCAGCACCTTGATCTTGGAGCCTTTCACTGAAGTTTATTTTCTCTACATTATGCAGCCTCTGAAGTTCTTCAGAGAGTGTAGCCTTGGGAAGGTGTACTGTCACCCTGGGAAACAGGGTGTTAGCAGGAGTCACCTCGTATCTCTTCCCTTATTTGTTTAGTGTCTATTTCTATTGGTGTCATACTCAGCTTCCTGCCTCCACTAATTGCATCTGATTGCTCTATAGTTATATACAACGCCCCGAGGTACAAATTATTCCATAGTCTCAACCATTTAAATTCAGGGCCATTTTCCGGTGATTGTTTTAGTCCAACTTTATGAGACACATTCCAACTAGGAAGACTCCAAGACTAGACTGTTTAACTCTTTCTTTGTTCTATTAAAATTTCTAGCTAGTATATGGTTTAGCATCTTGCCCTTATAGAGCAATTAATATCTTATTTAAGTAAATTAAATCTAAAAATAGTTATTCTGGGAGAAATTTCTCTTCCAAAAGTAGACTGTGGGTAGGCACAAAGTTCACCTTCTGAGATGAGTGTTTGAAAGAGAGAAAAGGAATGTTTATTACCAAATATTTATTTCTGTCAGCAAAGGACAGAAGTATTGGAGGAGATCCTCAACTTGGATGTCCTAAGTGCAAAGGAGCTCCTTAATCAGGCAGGAAAAGAAAGAAATTGAAGTGCCAAGAGTGTAGTATTGGTGGGGGTGCAGCTCAGTGGTATACTACTTGATTAGCAGGCAGAAGCTCCTGGATTCAATTCTCAACAATGAAAAAGTGGTAAATGGCATAGGAAAAGACTTTATGAACAAATCCTCAGTAGCACGGGAACTAGCGGAAAGAATCAACAACTGGTATCTCATCTTATTAAAAAGCTTCAGCACTGCAAAAGAAACAATCAACAGAACTAAGAGACAACCTACAATGTGGGAAAAACTTTTTACCAGCTGCTCCTCAGACAAAGGACTATTATCTAAAATATATAAAGAACTCAAAACAACCAGCTCCCCCCCAAATATAAAGTCCCAATTCTGAAGTGGGCATCTGAAATGAACAGACATTTCTCAGACAAAGAAATAAAAGCAGCAAGTAAATATATGAAAAAATGCTCCATATCACTGGTCATTCGAGAGATGTAGATGAAAACAACACTGAGATTTCACCTCACCCCACAAAGAATGGCTGCTATCAAGAAATCACACAATAACAAATGTTGGCATGATTGTGGGGAGAAAGGCACACATCTCCATTGTTGGTGGGAGTGCAGACTGGTGCAACCACTATGGAAGTCAATATGGAGATATCTCAAATAACTAGGATTAGAGGTTCCATTTGACCCAGCCATCCCTCTGTTGGGTATCTTTCCAAAAGAAGTGAAAGAATCATATCACAGTGATATATGCGCACCCATCTTTATAGCAGCACAGTCTGTAATAGCTAAAACTTGGAAACAGCCCATCTGTCCATCAATTGGAAACTGGATAAAGAAGATGTGGTTTT